CTTATAAAAATAAAATTCAAAAATATAGACTCACTGTCTTCAAATAATTTCACTAATCTCAGGACTTACCACACGGCCTGTAAATAAATTCAATAAAACTCGACTTCACTTGTCGTAATAATTCAAAACACAAAAGGACTTACTTCACGGCCTATAAATAAATTCAATAAAACCTCGACTTCACTTGTCGGAATAAATATAACACAAAAGGACTTACTACTCACGGCCTATATAAATTCAATAATTCAATAACTCGACTTCAATTGTCGTAATATTTCACAAAAACTTAGGGCTTACCTCCGGCATATAAAATCAACATAGACATCAATGTCTTAAATAAATTCAACAAATACAAGGACTTACTTCTCGGCCTTTAAAATAATTTTCCCAAATACAAACAACAATTGTCTAAAATAATTCACAAAATATAAGGACTTACTTCCGGCCTGTTAAATAAAAATATAGACATCAATTGTCTCAATAAAATTCACAAAATATAAGGACTTACTTCTCGGCCTTTTAAATAAAAATTCCCAATAAATTCTCAATATATTCAACAATAAAGACTCAACTGTCTTAAAATAATTAAAATATTTTTTTATAATAATTCCCAATTTATTATAATATTACACGATCTATTTCAATTAAATATAACTCAAGATTTATGAATTGTTCAGCCTAATTTAATTTTAACTATGTATTTATATTTATTTAATAGTTAATCAATCACTAACTCAACCTAAAAAAAATAAAAATTTTGTTCGAATATATATATTCGCTAAAATATTTAATTTTATTCTATTTCCAAATAATTAAATTTATTTCTAATAAATTTTATGTTATTATTTAATTCAATGTTTTGAACAGCCATTAAATTATTTTATTTAAGTAATTGAAATTTATTTTAAACAAAGTTATTATTTTATTTAATGGTTATTTAATTTCAAAGTCCGAAAAATAAAATTATTAATTTATTTTAATTAAAGGATTAACATTTATTATTTAAATAAATATTATTTTATTTAATTATTTTTTTATTTGGTTTGAATGAAATTTATTTAGAATATTTATTTTATTTATTTATTTAACTAATTGAATATTTATTTTGAAATAAACTATTATTTTATTTAACTATTAATTTAAGTCAAGTTCGAATAACTATTATTTTATTTTAATGGAAATTATTTAAAGAAAAAATTAAAAACAAACTTATTGTTTTAGTTAACTAAAAAAAAAATTAATTTAAGTTTCAAATAATTGTTAAGTTATTTTAATTAAACGTTTAGGAAAAATTAAAATAATATTATTACTTTATTTTATTTGAATGATTGGAAATTATTTAAAATAGAACTATTATTTAATTTAATTTAAATGAAAATTATTTTAAAATAAAATTCTATTTATTTTATTTAAATGATTGAAAAATTTCTACGAAATTAAATTATTATTTATTATATTTAAAAATTTGCTAACTCGCGACGTTATTGTAAAAATAAAATTATTACTCTATTCAATGTTATTTAATTAAAAAAAAAATAAATAAATTTCAAACAACTATTAAATTATTTTATTTAAATATTATTTAATTAAAAGTGTTTAAGATTTTTTAAGTTACAATATGTTATTATTTTTTATTATTATTTAATTAGACAAAAAAAAAAAATTATTTTAAATTAAAACTTCAGTCTATTTAATTATTATTTAATTATTATTTTATTTTATTATTATTTTATTATATTTATTGAGTATTATTTTATTATTTTATATTATTATTTTAAATCTAAGGTTGAACAATTTTATCTTATTTTAAAAAATTTTAAAGTTCCTCACAATTTATTTTATTTAACACGAAAAATTCAAAGTTCTCAATAATTCCCTTATTTAATTTAACACGAATAATTTTTTTACTTATATAATATATACTATGGTCATATAATATACCATAGGAGACGAACAACGATTTTATTAATCTAAATACTCACAACAACACGGCGGGTACTGCGGGTGCTTCCATTTGCTCGGTTGAAATGTTGATTGTAGTAGGGTGTTATGTAGTTGTACAGGATTCTTCTCGGAGTTGTTGGCAGGTGATCAGTCTTCCAACGGTGATCCAGTGATGGATTTCCCTCCTTGATCGAATTTAGAAGATGAAAATTTTTCAAAAAAATTTTTCGAAAATTTCGAAAAAATTTTAAAGTGTTCTTCGGGTTTCTTCTAAGTATCTTTTGAGACACCCTGTCCACAGCGCCAATTTGTAACGTGCCCAACAGCGTTACTTGTTGATTTGGAAGCAATAATAGAACAATAACCTCTTTTGATTGTATTTATTGTATTTATTTTATAAACAGTTTTATGGAATTTATCCTAAGTCCAAATAATAAACTAAAAGCGAGTTGTGACTATGAGTATTTAGTGGTGTGACTGTCGAAGTTGAGGTTGGTTGCTCGTCTGATGAACGCTTGTCCATCAGCTCTCCTCGATGGGTCGGTCCAGTCCCTTCCACAGATTCACATGACCACACATGGTCATCCTGCGGTTAGGCCTATCGTGGGATTGTCACACGGTCCTCGTTCTGGCTAGTTGTGGTGTCATTTAATATAACAGCACAAATCCTAATCTACAGTATTTTAGAATTATTTATATACGTAGTCATATATCTATTGCCGCGCGCCGTTCATGGTCATGAGCATTATTAGCTTCGCGCTGTATATATGATGTCGTCGCTCCACTACACACGTACTGTATACATGGTGCCAGCGACATTATTATTATTACTATTATTAACTTTTACGCGAGCAACGCTCGCGTATTACTATTATATTATATTTACGTGGCGCGTCTATTATATTATGATTACGTACATAATATTAGAATGAGATTTATATTGTTAAATAGTTATTTAGGAAATAGTCACAGCTCGCTACACACTCTATAAAAAAAATTAAATTATTTATGCTATCATTATAAAAATATTATTTATATTACCAATTTATTCTGCTTTTTTTTCATAGGTTTTTTTGCACTTGTTTTTTCTACAGCACGTTTTAGACCAGGTTTTGTTTTTGAAAAAGACGGTCTCATATCAATTGATTCGCTGAAATGTTCATTCTATGAAACATAAAACATAGTATATTAATTTTTTACTGTTTTTTTCATTATATATTTTGTAAGAATTATAACCAAAGCGTTGAGTAATGTATCCAATATGTTTTTAGTTACTATATAGTTTTTTAAACTATGTCATAATCAGACATTTAATATTATTTTAAGAATTATAACCATAGCGTTGAGTAGTGTTATGACTGGTCTCCAATTAGCTTTGGCTATAAGATATTTACTAAGTAGTTACTAACCTCTGAATCAGTTGAAGCAATTGTACGGTACGACATCTTTTTTGGTAGTATCTCTGTTGAACTGAGCTGCTTGTCCTGGGATGAAATCTTGAAGACTGGTGAATATTAGTGATTCCCTGTATCTTTTATACACAGATTTTGCCACTACTTCAATAATTTAAAATACAAATTTCCACAGCAATGACCTTACCTTACAGAAACCGGTCGAAACATGTACATAGAGGTACAACAGCAAATTACATAATATGAATTTAAATTGTTGCTAACATCAATTGCTTTCATATTATAATTACACTATATGAATATAAATTATTACAAACAGGATTTAAAATAATTTACATTCATGTCAATGCCATTCTAATATGAAAACAGGATATGTAATATATTAAAATGTTTAAATTCATTCTAAAAAAGTTTCTGATGTGAACAGAGAGGGGCTATTTTCGGGTATAAAACACAGAATTTCTTAGCTTATCGTCATCAGTTCAAGCAACAGCAGTCCACAGCAGTTCCAAGAGCAGTCAGCAGAACAGCATTCTTCGCCAACCAATAGTCAGCCAGCAGATTATCAGACCTCTTCAACAAGCCATCATACTTAGAAAAAAATACTTAAATTTCCACAAGCTATGTAAGTACTATTTTTATATTGTTATTTATTAAATTTAACATCTAAACTTCTTTTTTAAAATTAAAAAAAAATATTTAAAAAAAAATAGAATAATAACAATGTATCGTTGTAATATAGCTTTATAATATTACTATGATCGTTATATCATGTAGGTATGACTTTAGATAGAAATTCTATCTAAAACCGTGCTCACAAACTTAAAGATATTTCATCAGATCAGATTATATAAAATAAAAACCATTAGAATAAAAGCAGTGGTTTAAGACGGTTTCTCAACTCTCACTTTAGTTACTATCATATAAGCTGTTTTCTTTTTTTGTTAAGTTATGTTTAAATAAAATAAATAATACATTATAATTATGCGACTGTGTGTAGTGTCCACGATATAGAAAACTGCTGTATCATAGATTTACATAGATAAGATAAAACATCGGGCTTATCAACCATGGATAAAGTGTTTACATTTTTTGAGGTTTTAAGGGTTCCTTATTATCACGAACTAAGATATATTATCTTAGTTCATGCTTATTATTGATAATTATTGTAACTTAACCTCAACATCTGACTGCACTAGTACACACTGGTGTACACTGGTCGATACCGTGAATTTCAACGGTGTGGTCAATTATGTGATTATGGAATCAGTGTTCACGTGTAGTGTGTATTAGTAGTCAGAATATGGAAAAACGCTATTACGGTTATCTATAGTTTATCAACGTTGAAATACTTTCGCTGATTATAAATATTTGGTATTGATAATGTGATAGTTGTATTATACATGTATTTTAAGTAAAGGTACCCATACACGGTCAGTTATGAATATCAGTTTTTATGATTGTCACTCTTATGAATGACATACATGGCCAATCATGGTTAGAAATACATGGTCAATCATGAATGACAATCGTTTGATAATTCTTCACTTTTAGGTTAAAGATAAAACAAAGGTCACCATCTAAATCTATCGTAGCCTATGCCCTTATAGTAATTGTACATCCAAATTTAAATTTTCCTGAATAATGGAAGAAGCTTGCATTGCAATTATTGTTGCTTTGGCTACAGATAATGCAGACGAAGGAAGGAAACTAAAGAAAAAACAAAGAATATGGTCAAAAGAATGGTTTTTAAAAAGAAAAAAATACACACATCATAACCTACTAGATGAACTTTTATTGACATCAAATGAAGATTATGCAAATTTTCTTCGAATGGACCATTCAACATTTATGGAATTATTAGAAAAAGTTGAACCTTATATAAAAAAAAAAGATACAAATATGAGAAGTGCTATCCCTGCAAATCAAAGACTGTCAACTACTTTAAGGTATTTAGCTACTGGTCAAAGCTTTGAAGATTTAAAATTTACCACAGCAATAGCTCCTCAAACATTGAGTAAAATTATTATTGAAACCTGTGAAGCTCTAGTTACTGTACTAAAAGATTGTATACAAGTAAGTTAAAAAAATATTTATATACTTACTTATATTATTATTTAAAAACTACAAATGAATAAATATTAACTTTTTTAATATATACTGCTAATATCACAAATTTAATCAACATCACTTGATATAGGTAACATTTGAACAGTTATTTTTTTAATTATAACTAATATACTTAAAACATAATATTTATAAATATTTTTATAAAGGAACAAATATGGCTGTTTCTAGGTACTAAATAATAGCTAAATTAAATATTATAATACTCTTTTTAATATCTATAAAATAAAAAACAACAACACTCAACTCTGTGTATATATTATGTGAAATTAAAAAATAACAAGAAAAAATATAACTGTTGTAAATATCTTTAAAATTACATAATTAATCAAAAAACCTTTTTAATATCTATAAAATAAAAAAAAGCAACACTCAACTCTGTGTATATATTATGTGAAATTAAAAAATAACAAGAAAAAATATAACTGTTGTAAATATCTTTAAAATTACATAATTAATCAAAAAACCTTTAACGGTCAAATATAAAAAATATTAACTTATAATATCACAAATTCAATCAAAATCAAAGAAACAACATAAAAATATACCTATCATATAAAAATAAGTATACTTAATTATCTGCATTGTATTGAGGATCACAAAAGACATCACTGATTGAAGTGTATGTGCGTGTTGCTGTATTGTTCGAATAATTCCATGAATTATTTGATGAAGTATACATCGGACTTTCTAGAAGTGTATTTCTACTACATTGGTGATTAATCTGAACTGAATTTCTATTAAGAGTTTTAAGTCTTGCTTCAAACAATATATCATTGATTGCCTTTTGTGCAAACAGTTTCTGATCGGGTTCTAATTGATTTAACTCTAATGCCCAGGATTTGGCTAAAATATCATTATCATTGGACAAATTTCGAAGCTTATCACAAGCAAATTCAAGGAGCTCATTCCTTTTTTGTTGGTCTGTTATTTTATACTTTTTTTTAGAGGGTGGAGTATATGTTGTAAGTATAGGTGAGTCTGGAGATATCGGTTCTTCCAAATCCTGAAAATAAAAAAGCTTTTTATAAAATAAAATAAAATTTAGTTGAATTAATACTCAAATAATATGATATAAAAATTGAAACCAGTCTTTTATACAAATCAAATTTATAGTAGGTACACTAGATTCAAAATATATTGCTTATTTTTTAAATGTAATTACATACTGCATTTTTATAATTAGTTTTTTTTGATGATAGTTAAATGTTATTGATATAAATATAATTTTTTTATTAGATGCCAAGTACAGAAGAAGAATGGAAGAAAATTGCCAACGATTTTGGCATAAAATGGAATTTTTACAACTGCTTAGGATCTATTGATGGAAAGCACATTGAAATTAGAAAACCTCCTGGATCAGGCTCATACTACTATAATTACAAACAAACATTCAGCATAGTCTTAATGGCAGTAGTAAACGCCAACTATGAGTTCATTATGATTGATGTTGGTGCAAATGGACGTGTCTCTGATGGAGGTGTATTTTCAAATACTAAATTTTATCAAAAACTGAAAGAAAACAAATTGAAAATTCCAGAACCTGATTACCTACCTAGAAGTAACATTAAGTTACCATTTGTTTTTGTAGCTGATGATGCTTTCCCTTTATCTGATAATATTATGAAACCTTACCCTCAGAGGAACATGACTAGGGAACAACGTATTTTTAATTATCGACTGTCGAGGGCTCGTCGCATTGTTGAAAATGCATTTGGAATATTGTCTTCCCGTTTTCGAATTTTATTAAATGCAATTAATTTAGAACCAGACAAAACATCGACAATTGTATTAGCATGTTGTTATTTGCATAACTTTTTAAGACAAAAGAATATACAAATATTTTTACAAGACAGTTTTGACTTTGAAGATGTTAGTTCTGGTCAAGTCCGTCCAGGAAGTTGGAGAAATAACAACCAACAACTTATTTCATTAGAATCTTGTCAACAAAGAAATAGCACAACTACTAGTAAAGATATAAGAAACAAATATTGTGAATATTTCAACAATATTGGAGCAGTTCAATGGCAAAATAATATATTTAATGAATAAAATTAAAATAAGTTATACTTTTTAAAAATAAATTACAATTAACTACCTAGTATAAATATTAAATCATTTTAATTCCGAACAGAGTTCAATTTTGTTTTTATTGTTATAATAAAGGTATTTATAGTTAGGTACTTAGATATATAAGGTTTATTGTATGTAATAAGAAAATCAAAAATCTTGAAATGTTATTAATTTAAAATAAAATTAATTGAATATGTGTTCATTAACATTTAGAGCAATAAAAGTTATTTTTAACTACCTATGTAACTTGCATCAACTAACCTAATATATATTACACATATAATAAATACAATATATGCAATATACCTATATACATATAATACATGTGTGTGTGTATATTTATTTGTAAAATTGTATTATAAATCAAATCAAAATACAAAATTTAACATTCCGTAATAGTCTAGTACTGATGCCTAATAAAAAAAACTTACAAAATTAGTCATGTCTTCTTCTATGGATGACCTTCCAATATCCTGACATTCTTGATCTCTTAGAAACTCCAGATCATTAAAATACCAAACAGTGGGCTCATACATATCGTCAGCACCAGCTCCAGATTTTCTACTATTGATTTGTTTCTTCAACTCTCTTCGAAAATTGGACCTTAATGTGTTAATTTTTCTTTTTGTAGAATTTATATCTGCAGTTGGTTGATGTTCTTTTAGTTTGTCTGTTAACTTTACATAACATTGAGACTTTAAATCGCGGTTTTTATAATCATCACTTTTTATTTTCCAAACTGCAGGTAGTTCGCGATATAGGTTTATAAATTCACGCCAGAATTCTATGTCTTTAGTAGTAACCATAATTATCCTATAGCTACATACAAAAAAAAATTAAAAAATATTATAACTTTATATTAATACTTAAAATAACAATATGTTTAGTTAAAATATACTTACTTTATTAATGAATAACGATTTTGAAAGTGAAAAGTATAAGCACGTGGTACAACTGTGATAAGGTTTTTGTTATTGTTTTGAATGATAACGAGTATAAATCATTACCACACATGGTCAGTCATGATTGGCAATCACTCTGATTGACAACAAAAAATCAAACTTGTTTGAAATTCATCAGTCACAAAAAAAGATTGACATTCAACAATATACACGGTCAATCACGAGTGACAATCACAAAAACTGACATTCATAACTGACCGTGTATGGGGCCCTTTAAAATGTTTTAATTTAAAAAAAAAAAAATATTCAATAATGTTTACTGTCTGTATAAAAAATATATAATATCCTAAAACGTATATAATTTATAAATTTAAATTATTTTTGTTGCTTTTACATCGAGTATGATCGAAAGCCGCGGATACACGGTGGTAGTAAACACTGTAGTGATCCCTCACTAACGCTTATATTTTGAGTTTGTCGACGTTGATGATTGAGTAGGAGAAAAGGTTGCAGAGTTACAAGTTACAACGTTATAATTTAAGTAATTTATTTTAAAGTTAATAATAATATAATGGTATTACATTTGAATATAGAAATTTGAGGACAGAGCGATAAGCGTCTGCCCTAGAGATTAGTGGTTAATACTAAGTACTTCAAGTATGTACGTCGTACTAGCACTGAACTAATTCTAATTTAGATACAGGCGGAGACTCGTATATATACAAAGTCTCCCTAGGTTATTAGGTACACGGTAGACTCGGAGGTGGATCAAAGGAATACCGGCGGTATGAAAGGTACGGGCGTAAATGTTAAAAGTTGTCGAATAAACCTTGAGTTGTGAACTGGTTTATTTGGCAATATGTATTATTAGAAATCGTTATGCGATTTTGAAATATGTAATAAACCTCAGGGCGTGGTATAGTCGTTGATCAATATATCATATAGTGCAAAGTCCTTATGATGTATAATTATAGAAAAGCGACTCTGTCGGTTTACTACAACACGATACTTGTTACTATCACCCTAGATACTTGTTACTATCACCCTATTACGATGAACTAGCATAGAAACTATCACGTATTTTCTATTATCGTGTGATCACGGTTTCATTAGTAATTAAAAGTATGGTTCTATGTTATAAATACTATAATATTGCCTAGTTAATATTTTAACTGTGATGTGAAAACTTGTCAAATAATATGAGTTAAATATAATATAATATAATATAAAGGAAAAATAATATTGTATCGCTTATAATTATTATGACTCGACTTTTTTTATTTTATTGAATATATTGATTAATAAATAAATATTAACATTTACAGTATATAGATAATGAACTTTTAGCATTCATGATTATTGTTGTGAACAAATTCAATATTATGAAGAGCAGATTGTAGCATTAATGAAGATGATTGGTGAAAATAAAATTAAAATGGAATCTCGTTCAAACCAAACGTTAATAAAACATAAAATTGAAGAAAAAATATGAATTACTTGAAAAAACTTTGGACGAAGAAGACGAAGAAGAAAATATAAACAAAATTAAAACAATAAACCAAAAAATTAAAAAATTAAAATATGAAAAAAAACAACTTAATCTAGACTACCAACAATCACAGTATACATATTATAAATGTAGTATATGCATAATATGCAATTCTTTACATTCACTGCTGTCGTATCACCCGTATTGGATAATACGTGGTAAACCTACTATACGCCGCACCCTCGTATTCTCTAGCTAATGACACCCACACAGCATTTGTCAATCACAACGATTGTATCAATGTTTAACATTGATTGAAATTTAAATATTTAAAATTAAAACTTTATCCAACTTTAAATAGTTATTTAGTTTGTTATGTTATAGTTGAAATATTGAATATGAATTAATTATTATTAATTAATTATTAATAACATCCGAAAACAAATTATTTAAATTTTAATACACATTTAAAATTGTATGAGTTTTAACTATTAAACTTTATTTAACTTACCAGGATTAATAATTATTAAACATTGAAAATCAAAATTGATTTATAATTCTATTAAATTGATAAAACAATATTTCACTTACTTATATATTATATAGGTATATATATATATATCACTATAGGTACCTATATTACCTATATTATATATATTATATAATATATAGGTATTATTTCTGTTTTACCAGACCCCTTTTTTTTGCAATTATTTTTGTTTCAACGTACTTATGCTGTATAGTTAAGCAAGCTAAAAACAATGATGATGTCAGATTGGAGTTAGTTTTGAAGTTATATATTAATTTATATTAATTCCGATAGTCGATACCCACCCTAGCTAGATGGTTTTAAGTAATAAGCCGAGGGATTATATTTTCGATTTTAATTGTCCTGCAGGTGTATCCATATATGAAAATACAATAAATTGCAATTAGTTATAACTTAAAGAAGTAAGTCCGACTTCTAAAGTCTGACTTCACCATAGTTTTAAGCATGCTTATAACTACAAACGCGTTATACAACATAAAAAATTGCAAAAAAAAGGTTGTCCGGTAAAACAGAAAAGTTCCATATTATTTTCACTACGAAATTGAACAGCAGTCATTATCTAATTATTATAATATAATATAGTATATGCAGGTACGTTGCAGTAGTCTGCAATAAGCCAACACATGATATATAGATACACTGTCAATGCCCGCGTATTATTTATAATAAGTTTATACCACACAGTTTACCACTGTAGTCAGCTGCAGTGTAATGAGTAATGACTAATAGGTATATTATTATAATACACTAACTGAATAAAATTATTTAGTATATTATATGTACTATAGTATATTATATCAGCGCCTATAGCCCGGGTCACCACGCCAAAAATACGTCCATCAGTCGACTATAATAATATTATTCGTCGACCCACGCGCAGCAACATAGGTTATTAATTATTATACTTATTTATTATCCTATATATGTATGTAATTATTTAAATTATTAATTAATATTAATGCTTTTAATATAATAATTAAATAGTTTATATTATGAATATGATTTATTACCACCTACCAGGAGAAATAATCGTAAATAAAATAATAGTTAAAAATAAATTCAAAAAGTGATAAAAATAATTTTATATTTTTCCAATTACTCTGTATTCTGTAGGAACACGCTGTATATATATCAGAAAATAATATATTATATAATATTTGTTGTTATTTAATTTATGAATACAAATAATATTGTCATGAATCATAAATCATGATACAAGTATATAGCATGAATGCCATGGCCCAAGAATATTGTCAGACGTCAGTAAAGTTGTATCGGTATTATCGGTAATCGCGGCACGACGACGCACGACGCACCGATTAATGATTATTGACGTTTGATCATAGAACAATATAGCATAGACAAGAATATAGAAGCGATATAGAAGCGAAACTCGATCACCTGAATACCTGATGGGTGAAGTACTGAAGTGTTTACCTATGATCTGAAGTTCAAACAATGAAACTGTTTCCGTACACCAATATGATGTTATACCCGTATTGAAAAACTGTTTCCCGGAACATAGGCGGGATACGCTACGCGGGGTCAGCTTGTTTCCCATTCCCTATTTCACATACGCTACTGCATACAATTTAGTAGACACTAGACAGTAGTTACTATGGAGTATAAGGTCATAATATTATGTTCCATATGGTTTTAATTTTAAGTTATTATGTTAATTAGATACCTATAATATTTTATATTAAATTGTATTGAGTACAAATGTTTTTGAGAATTTTAATTGTAATTTGTAACTGTTATTAACGCGGATATTATAGCCGCAGTCTAAAAGCTGTCAACCAGTGTGCGTAATCGACGCGACGCAAAAATTATATATTTATTCGCCCTGGTCGAGCCGTTGTGTCTGGCAGCCTGGCTCGCCAACCGCTGTCGTTGGCCGTTGGGATTGTTATTTGTGTCTTTCCATGGTTCAAAATATATGGTTATTGGTTAGAAAAAAAAATAAAATGGCTATTTAAGCCATGTGCCCATGTGTCTTTCTTTCGTTTACGACATTCCGAGTGGTGTGGAACTGCGT